GCTTACCGCGTTCTTATTTTAATAAAATTCAGCTTAACACTTCCCAAATTAATATAAATCGATTAATGCGACAAAAACACGGCACAGTGCAGTTTCACTGCATACATTATGAAATTGAGCCTGCTATACCATACCTTGGAACTGAGGAACCTGGCCAGGCATTATGTTTTTTCTATTTGTGGTGTTTTAAAACAATCTAGTTTTGTTTTGTTGATGTTTATTAGTTATAAAGGGCATAAAAAGAAATAAGATAACCTAGAAATAGGCCGTAATCGTATTTGTCTAGATTGCCCCAGTTATTTTGACATTAAATATATGCATAATTATTATATAAACAATGGCACCGCCACCAATATTTTAGCCAGCAACAAGCACCTTTTTTTCTAAGAAAATAAAAACCCATTTATAGAATCTAAATAGCCCTTAATTTCCCAGTAAACACCAATCTATATCAGAACTTTTTAGAGCTAACTTGCGAAAAATGCACGGTTCTTTTATACCGTTGCAGGTTTTACTCGTGTATGGCCAGCCATGACTATAGTGACCAAACGAGAAAGATCAGCTTGTTGTGCGACGCGATATGTAACTACACGGGTAGAGCTAAAGCTGGGTTTACACTATCAACTTTCTGTTGAAAGTAACCGACTGAAAAATCCTATGGTGAGAGAGCTGACCCATGAAGTTATGCTCGCCGAACTCCCAAAGAAATTTTGTAGCACTACGAAATAGACGCCAAACGAACGGCATCCCCACGTACACGAAATTCCGGAGAAAGGCCAAGAAGAGTACGGCCCAAGCCAACCACCATCTTGTCGATAGAACCTCACAGAGGCGCCGTGAAAGTGGGGGGGACAGCGGGGGCGCCGCCCTAATCAAAAAGTGGGGGTCGGGGGCAAAAACCAAAAAGCCTCCCCAAAAGAGTGTGTCGAAATAAAAAAATAAGAATGTATGAGCTATAGACTTCTTAATTCTAACGTTCAAAAACTAATTTATACATCCATTTTAAGTTTTCGCTGCGCGCTTTTGCGTGATGACCTCATGCCGCACTATACGCGCTCATGCACACACGCTCCGCACATTACGCGCTCACGCATCACACGTCGACACACACCGCGCTCCACGCACACACGCCGCCCCACAATACTGCGCCTCACTGCACACACGTCTACACACACGCGCTCACGCCATCACAGCGCGCTCAGCGCACACACGCTCACACACCATCGCGCTCACGCACACACGCTCACACACACGCGCTCACGCACACACTGTCACACACAACGCGCTCATGCACACACTAGTCATCACACACATCGCGCTCACGCCCTTACACACTCACACTACATGCGCTCACGCCACACATCGTTCGCACACGCGCGCTTTCATTGCACACACGCCGCACATACGCGCTCACGCGGCCCACGTCGCCACACACCGTTCACGCCGCCACGCGCACACGTTCACACAACGCGCTCCCACGCGACACACGTCGGCACACAACGCGTTTCACGCACACACGCGCTTACGCACACACGTCACACACACGCGCTCACGCCCCACACACGTCGCACACATTGCGCTCACGCACCCACGTCGCCACACCACGCGCTCCACGCACACACTGCGCTCGCGCACACACATCACACACAACGCGCCCCTCACGCCACACGCGTTCACGCCACACACGTCGCATACACGCGATCACGCACACACCCGTTCACGCACACAATCACACACACGCGCACACGCACACACGCACACACACGCGCTCACGCTACATCACGTCACACACACGCGCTCACTGCACACAAACGTTCGCACACGCCGTTTCACGCACACACGTCGCCACACAACGCGCTCACGCACACACGCCGCTCCACGCACACACGCCTCACACACACCGCGCTCCGCACACACGTCGCATACACTGCGCTCACGCACACACGCGCATCACACGCGCTCACGCACACACAGCCGCAACACACCGCGCTCACCGCAACACATCATCACACACACCGCGCTCAGCAACATGCCTCACGGCACTCACACGTTCTACGCACACACGCGCTCACGCACACACGTTCGTCACACACGCGCTCAAGCCAACCACGCACACACACGCTCACGCGCACACGTCGCACACACGCGCTCACGCACACACGTCGCACACACCGCCGCTCACCCCACAAAAACGCGCTCACATGCGCCTCAACGCACAACACGTCGCATACACGCGCTCACGGCCCACACATCACCACACACCGTCAGCACACTATAGCGCAAATCACGCACACACGCAGCTCACCGCCACACACTCTCATGCACACAACGCGGTCACGCACACACGTCGCAACACAGCTGGCGCTCAAGCACACACACACGCCGCTCACGCACCACACGGGCGCGGGAAGCATATCAGACGAAATCACATCAATGTCTGAATCTATTCTTAGAAGAAGTGTGATTAAGTCATGATCTGTATGCAGCGACTTTATACGCTATGGGTGGAAATTAAAAAGAAAGAGAGAGTGCAAGCGATTACGGTGTCTAAAGAGAGAGAGCAGAGAAGAGAGAGGAGGAGAGAGAGAGATGAGGAGAGAAGATATATGCTAGAGGAGAGATCGAGAGCAGAGAGGCGCAGATCGCAGAGGCAGAGAGAGAGAAAGAGAGAGGGAGAGGGAGCCTCTGATCAATACCAACAACAGACTGAATAAACAACCAACTGAAACTTGTATGAAGTAACCAATTTTTTTCCCTGTTCATATATATATATATATAATTACATATTATATATAATATACATATACAGATATTATATCACGGACTGCACACCCACATACGCATCATACGCCACGTACAAACACACACAACACACATCACACACACACACACACCACACACACTCACGCACCACACCACACACACACACACACACACACACGACGCGCGGCGCCACATACGCACGTCAAACACACTACAACACACGACACACACACACACACACACGCACACACGCACACACCACGTCAAACGACACACGACACACACGCACCGCACGACGCCACTCTACGCACGCACCCACGCACACACACACACACACACACACACACACACACATATATATGCTAGCATGACTATTGCCAAACAGAAAGGCTAGCTGTTGCGGAGCGAAGGGTCTACACAGGTAGAGCTAACACGGGTATAAGAACTCCCCTGCGAAACAAACTTCCAAGCTATATGTTTTCAATTATCTCGCTTTGTTTCGCAACAACTGCTGATCAACAACAACAACAACAACAACAACTGGGTTTACACTATCAACTTTTTGTTGAAAAGTTAACGAGTTGGTAAACTTTATACAACTAATCGACTGAAATTTGGTAGTGTATAGCGCGCTTAACTAGTTGAGAGATTAGAACATGTTCGATTTTCTCAACTTTTAGTCAGCGACTTAATAATTTTTTGCCATGCAGCCACTCAGATAACAGCAATCAGGAGGTGTGCCCCTCCACTCAGGGGGAGAATATTTCCGCCTGCGTTTTTACAACATGCACAAATTCGTATCCACATCGCCCCGCGCGCACACTGCAGGTAAAATGTTGAAACACTGCAGTTGCTGACGCGCGCTCGATAACGTAAATG